GTGTTTGGTTTGGTGATTTGAAATATCAACATTGGCTACCAGAAATCACTTACCCCACCTTTAAGTTTTGCATAGTTTTGTTTTTGATGGTTTTGTTGTATTGTTTTTATGATTTACTTTTGTTTTATTTTTGATGGCTTTTGTTTTATGTTTTTGATGGTTTAGTTTTGCTAAGTTTTGGTTTGGTTTGCTGTTCATGGTTTTGTGTTTTTGATGGTTTTGTTTGCTTAGTTTAGTTTTTTGTTGTTTGTTTGTTTTGAAACATTCATTATAGCAGTTTGGTAACTCATAAATTATGCCCAATTATGAAACACCTGTGCAACCTGGTTTGTGAAAATTTGATAAAATCAGCCAATTAGAATGGAGCTTGTCATTTTTTATAAATATCCTACTGTTTTTGTCTGCAATGTGCATCAGACAACGTAATTTTCATATATAATGTCTTATTTCTTTGGTTCGATATTTTATTTGTCTTAGTGCATGGTTTCTGTTTTTGTTTTTCTTTTATTTGTATAATTATTTATCATGTAATATCTCCCAGGCGGATGGCTATGATGAGGAACTTACTGGCTCCATATGAACAGAGACCTTGGGCTCAAACCAACTGGATCCTGGTTCGTCTTTGGAGGGTAAGCTGCATTTCTTATACTGTCTTACACAATCCCCTCCCCACACTTTCCACTCACTCCTTTCTTTTTATCTTCTCCTTGAGCTGACTAACGTTAGTATTTCACCGATCATTGGTCAAAAAAGACTGATTTGTTTCCACAGTTCTTTTAGGCCACACACACACAAAATGCAGCTAAATACGTTTACCACTTTTCTTCCTAGTTTAAACTTCTTGCTGTTTTTACTAGAGCGGTTTTGACATCATGCCGTTCTTCTGTGCGACTGTAAAAGTCTCTTTGCTTCTGACTCATTAAAGTCAAACTTAGGCAGCTTCATACGCACACACAGTCTCGGCGAGAACATGACTGTTCACTCGTCCGTTATTTCTTTCAGCCGCCTGTGAGATCAATACTTTTTAAGAGACCATCCATTAAGTCAAACCATCTGTCTCATCGACCAGTGATACTTCCCCTTATCAATTTACTTTAAAGCAGTATAGTCTGAATTTAATCATTCAGTTCACTGCCAGCCTATTTTTTTATTTTTTGTTTTTTGAATACATAAAATATCAGCTTTGTATATTGGCAGCTCCCTCAAGAAGCGGTAATTCTGGATGGTAAAAACATGATGTCTTGCAAGCTTAGGTTCCTTTTCATGGTCAATATGAAACATTCCGATTTTACTTCTATAATGTGATGCCATTCAGAGAGAAACAGGATGTTCAATAAGTAACATGCACTCTGGGATGCAATTTTATCTATCAGGAATTGATTGGATTGTCAAAAGTGTCGATTTGCATACAAGAAGAGAGGCTAGTAGCGCTTAATCAGAAGGCCAATGCTTAGCTGAGGGGAATAAATTGTAAAGTTGTCACATTTTGAAGGGTCACTTGTCTTGACACTTCAGCTTGTCTTGTACATGATGCATGAATTCCTTCCCTGGTCCGATCTCAATGCTAATTCTATCTTTTTTCCACTTTCATTTGCATGACGTCCAGGGGATTTGTCAATTGCTAGTTTTCAAAGTAAGTTTCGTTCCCATTTGGTAGTTTTCACCTTTGGTTGACCCCTATTAAACACTATCCTAAGTGCTGGTCTGCTCTGACTGATTGAAGTGAACGTAAAGCAGATTCACAGCAGACTGATTAGCGTTTAGGATTGTGTCCACATAGCCGTTTACCATTTTTAAAGATTCAGTTTGCCCAAGTTTGCTCCCTTAGTTCCTTCTAGTCATGTCTTATCCTCACCAGTCGTTTGTTTTTTCCCCCTCAGTAATTGTGCTAATTACTATGTGATTAGTGTGTCACCTCTGTGTCCTACTCTAAATTATTAGTTAATTATTAGTTATGCTGCTCAAAATGCTGGCTGCAGTGAAAATTCTACATTTTATACTAAAAATACGCTGGTGATACTTTAGAAGTCCTAACATTTTTTACCATGGTACTGTTTCCACCGAAATAACATAGGTAACTAGTTGACTCAATGATCTGGTTGGAGTTGTTCCCTGGTGGGAAGACTGTTAGGCTACGTTCACACTGTCAGTTTTTGGGATTGACAACCGCATTTACTAACAGGTGTGAGTCTCGAAATGTCCTGTTCACACAGCAGCTTACAGTAGCATCTCGAATACTGTCTGTATGAACGGGAGTACTGTCTGTACTGTCTCAAGCCCGTATTCCTTACCAGTTGCCATAGTGACACTGACCAAAGTAAAATCAAAGATGGCGACGTCCATAAAACTGAAGGTCTTATAAATTTCTGACACGACAAGAGTCCAATCGAGCCGCAAGTTCATCTGTTAAACTTTCATTAACCGACAGCAGATTTTATATTTGGGTGGAGAGCGGGGTATTTGAGTTGCGTGCAGAACACAAAACTGATGTGAGCGGCTCCGGTGGAGACTGGATCTAAAACTTTCAGATGACACATAGCTAATTTCTCAGTCACTGTAAGTTACTGAAATCACACATGAAAACGCAACACATGGTAAACACGCGCTTACTGACCTAAACTTCCGTATGTTCCTTACCCAAAGCTATAATTTCAGAAGGCTTATAGCACACAAGTCGACTACTTTTATGGTGGTTCATTATCTTTTTTTGAAGCCTGAAAGCTCCACTCCACAATTGTTATTGCATGAAAAAGAGTGACCAGCACATTCTGCAAAATGTATCCTCTTTTGTTTCTTGGAAGAAAAAAAGCAGTGCGGGTTTAGATTGACATTAAGGTGAATTAATATTTTAAAGGTGTTTCTATCCATTTTGTTTATCGGATCATATCTTAAAGGGGTCATATGATGCTGCTAAATCGGTCTGAAAAAGCGAGGTGTGCTGTGATTGGCCAGCTATCCAGTGCGTTGTGTTTGGCCAAATAC